CAAAAAAAAAAAAAAAAAATACAGGAAGAAAACATCTGTATTGAACACGTACAGACTTTTTATTCTTGTCATTATTCCTGAAACAATGTGGCATAACGGCTATTTACATAACGTTTACATTGCATTAAGTATCATAAGTAACGTAGAGGTGATTTGAAGTACACAGCAGGATTTTATTTTATTTTATCTTATCTTATTTTATTTTATTTTATTTTATTTATTTTTTGAGTTGGAGTCTCACTCTTGTCGCCCAGGCTGGAGTGCAGTGGTATGCTCACGGCCACCACGGCCTCGACCTGCTGGGCTCAGGTGATCCTTCCGCTTTATCCTTCCAAGTAGCTGGAACTACAGGCATGTGCCACCACTCCCAGCTAATTTTTTGATTTACTGTAGAACGGGGGTCTCACCAAGTTGCCCAGGCTGGTCTTGAACCTGTGGGCTCAGGGAGTCCTCTCACCTTGGCTTCCCAAAGTGCTGGGATTAAAGGCTTGAGCCACCATGCCCAGCCTGCTACACCATTTTATAAAAAGAACTTGAGCATCTGGGGATTTCACTACCTGTGGGGAGTTCTGGGGCCCACCCCCTGGCTGCTGAGGGACAATAGTACATATATTATAAGTAAAAAGCCTCCTCCCACCCCGGGATCTGCATCTCGGTGTTCACTGCCTAGACCAGCCCAGGCCTGGAACCGTGCAAGGGTGGTCCATGGAGGGGACAGGCCCACACCCTGCAGACCCTGAGCAGCTGCCTGAGGCTTCTTCCTGGGGTGTCACACTGCCCTGGGTCCCGCTGCTGTCTTAACACAGGCTCTTGTGTATTGGTAGAAAAGATGCCACCTCATACTCCCTGTACCCCAAGGCTTCTTTCTTTTTTTAGCATGGTTTTTTGTTTTTTTTTTTGAGTCGGAGTTGCACTCCCAGGCTGGAGTGCAGTGGCATGCTCATGGCTACCACAACTTCGACCTTCTGGGCTCTGCCGATCCTTCTGCCTCAGCCTTCCAAGTAGCTGGAACCACAGGCATGTGCTACCACGCCCGACTAATTTTTCTTGCTTTATTGTAGAGACGAGGTCTTGCCAAATTGCCCAGGCTGGTCTCGAGCCCCTGGGCTCAGACAATCCTCTCTCCTCGGCCTCTTGGGATTATAGGCGTGAGCCACTGCACTCGGCCTATCCGTATTATTATTATTATACATATTATTATTATTATTATTTTTTGAGTTGGAGTTTCACTCTGTCACCCAGGCTGGAGTACAGTGGCATGCTCATGGCTACCACAGCCTCAACCTGCTGGGCTCAGGCGATCCTCCCACATCAGCTTTCCAAGTGGCTGGAACTCCAGGCATGCGCCCCCATGCCAGGCTAATTTTTTTTTATTTATTGTGGAGATGAGGTCTTGCCAAGTTGCCCAGGCTGGTCTTGAACCCGCGGGTTCAGGCAGTCCTCTCACCTTGGCCTCCGGACAGAGTCTGGACTTTATCCAGACAGGTCTTTCAGGTTGGGAAAACCAGAACAGATCTAACTCTAGTATTTCCAACTCTAGTATTGCTAAAACTTAGTGGAATTCCGTGTTATGTGCCTTAAAATAACTTTTAAATATGTATATTCAGGCCAGGCATGGTGGCTCATGCTTGTAATCCCAGCACTTTGGGAGGCTGAGGTGCAAGAATTGCTTGAGCCCTGAAGTTCAAGACCAGCCTGGACAACATAGCAAGACCCCATCTCTACAAAAATCTAAAAATTTAGCCAGACATGGTACACCTGTAGTCCCAACTATTGGGAGACTGAGGCAGGAGGATCACTTGAGCCCAGGAGTTTGAGGCTGCAGTAAGCTATGATCATGCCATTGCACTCCAGCCTGGGCAATACAGTGAGGTCCTGCCTCAAAAACAAAGACAATAAAAAATAAATTCAGATCATCTTAATGCTTAAGGTCTCCTGGGCCAATAATCATGTTTTCTAGGAGGAAAGTGAGGCCCAGAGAGGGGAAGTGACTTGGCCAAGGTCACACAACCAGAATGAAAAGCCAGAACGCCCAGCCCCTCACCTTGTATTTTTCCTACTGCCTTTGCCGACCACAGTGTAGGAGGCAGAACTTTAACTAATTTTATTCTGAAACAACAAATGGTTTCACTTTCTCTAGGGCAATAAATGTCTACCAGAAGACAAAACAATAAACAAAAATGCAGACAGAGTTATTCGCTTCATAATTAACATGTGGAAGAGCCTAGCCCAGTTCCTACATTAATTAGGAAAACAAATCAGGTAATTGCTGTTATAAAGCCACAAACCACTTCTACAATCAAGGTTAAAAAAAGACTCTTGTGAACTCAATTCCTACTTACACAATAAGTAAACACGTAGCCCCAGCCGATAACTCTTTGAGGACCGGGGAACGCAACTCAAAAGCAGATGGTTTCATTCTGACGGCCAGACAGTCAGAGCTGAGGACATTCCCCGATAAACTGTAACATTTTAGAACCCACAGAACGTGATGCTTTTCCTGTGATAGCTGCGTGTGCAGGGCAGGTGCCCACACCTTGCTGTTCCTCCTGTGTGACACAGAGGTCCCCGTGGAGGGGTGGTTTGGCTGCGGTATTTCAGGGAGGGGCTCCCGTGTGCAGTGCTACCAAATCTGCCCATTGAGGCGTCTCCTGAATGTCTGGTTTTAACTGCAAACTCACTGTCCCCAGAAGCAAACTCCTCCCTATCGTTGCACCACTGCCGGGGCAGCTTCCCTCCAGCCTCTGTGCCTGGGACCCTCCCTCGGGATCACAGTCAGCTCTTTGCCTATCTTCCTCCTCCGCCAAACCTAGGCAGCCATCCAGGCCCACTGGTTTGATTTTGATATGTCTTCCTTTCCTTTTTCTCTTTCCTCTCCATATGCTTTTCTTGCTCATAAGTTAAAGTAAAAAAACCCTCAACCTCTAGCCTTTTGGTTTAGGAAGTACTTTCCCGCGAGTTTGTTTCATCCCCACAATCCTCGCCTTTCTACAGAAGAGACCACTGAGAAAGATTAAGAAACTTGCTCTAGACTCTGATTCTAAACCTGCAAGGTTTGCAGAGTTCCAAGCCGGCTCTAAATCTGGCTTCCAGCTCAGTACCCTACTATGCCCTATAGCAAGCAGTAGTCACTGTAGAGTATTTTCAATGTCTAAATGTCTTAAGCCCTCCCACTTCTGTGTCCTGGTCCATGCAGGGCTCCCCACCCCAAAGTCCCTCTCTACCCTGCTCTCGCCACCAGAGGTGCCCCATCTTTCCTACCTGCTCCTTAGCCCTCTCTGAAGGCCTTTTGGCCCCTGGTAGCTGACAGCCGCACAGTAGCTCTGCCTTGCTCTATGATTTCTTTGTCTTCTGGAAAGAAAGCTCCATAGAGCCATGTTGGGGGTACGTGGCCTGTGGATTCCATGGACCATCCATTGAACTGGCAGTTCCTCTGCAATCACTCATGGCTGGATAGGCTGTCCTGGGCCTTCCAGAGGTGAGGCCTCAGGAGAATCGGAAGATGGAACTAAAACCTTGGGCTGGGGGCTTGTAAGATGTTCCCAAGGTCACCAGCAAGCCAGCCCCTGTGAGCAACTGGTCAACACTGGCACCTAACTGCCCCATGGGGACCGAGGGTCACAGGCTTCCATAGTTTCATGTGTTCGTGTGGGGTCTCCCAGCCCTCCAAGGTGGACCTCTCAGGATTCTGAGAACAGAGGGCCAGGCCAGCTTCCCAGTCGTGCCTCGGCCTGTTGAACTAAAAACCACCATAACTGGTTTTTAATATTTTCCCCCTGAGCATGTTTTTCCTCTTGCGAGGCTGTTTTCTCTCAGCGTCTGGTCACAGGGCTTGCCTGTCTCAGCAGTTCTGAGCTCTCAGGGTGCTCATGCTGCCACCCCAGAGAGGAGCACAAGGAAGGGTCCATCAGACCAGCTGGTAGGAGGAAGACCGCACCCCGGGGGCAGGGGTGGGCCCTGCCCTGGACCCCCCGGGAAGGTGGCTCCCCCTGTGCCCTGCCAGAAGGACAGGCAGGCTCGTGGGCTGGGAGGCCTTCCCACCAGCACACATAGTCAACCACAGGCAGCTCAGTCTGCCCTAGCAACATTTTGGCCTAGATTTTTTCGTGAGGACCAGCCTGGGCATCGTAGGGTGTTTAAAGCACCCCTGGCCTGCTAGATGCCAGTTGTACCCTCCCCCTCATTGTGACAACTGAAAACGTCTTCAGACACTGCCAAATGTCTTCTGGGAGGCAGAATCACTCCTAGCTGAGAACCACCAGTCTGAAACTTTGCTGGCCCTTCCTTTTTTTTTTTTTTGAGTTGGAGCCTCCCTCCGTCACCCAAACTGGAGTACAGTGGCCGCTCCCGGCTACCACAGCCTCGGCCTGCTGGGCTCCGGCAATCCTTCCGCCTCAGTCTTCCAAGTAGCTGGAAATACAGGCGTGTGCTACCATGCCCAGCTAATTTTTGATTCATTGTAGAGATGAGGTCTTGCCAAGTTGCCCGGGTAGGTCTCGAACCCGCAGGCTCAGGCAGTTCACTCACCTCGGCCTCCCAAAGTGCTGGGATTACAGGCTGAGCCACCAAGCCGGGTCAGCCCTTGACATTTTAACACTCAGACCAGTTATAAGTGTTCAGTCACAGCCCAAGAAAAATCACTCAGATGCTCATCTACAGCTCAGCCCCAAGAGCTGGGCTGATGTGCCCATGACCTGTCCACCCTGTGAACATGTGAACCCCCTAGATTGGATCTTCAACTTTCCTTCCTTTTCTGGAGCCTCTCCAGGGGGCTGGAAGTTCACTGGAAATCTCACTTGAGGTTAATTGAAACCTCATTTGGAGTCAGCCAGATGACTGTTGATTGCCTCCATGGGCAAAAGTTCCAGATGATGGGGCTAAGAATGAGACTTAGTTATTACAGACTAATAGCCACAAGGCGTATGTTTTAAGAGGGTTGACATAACCACGCTGGGCTCATCAATCCCACAGACTGAAATAGCCCTCGCATGTGTCTGTCACACATCAGAGCACTTGGCCATCATACTGCGGTCTGTGGGCCACCGGGGGCTCCTCCACCGACCCTCGGTAGGCCTGCTAGAGACCCACCTGGCCTCTGTTCTTCCCCCACCTTTTTTCTCGTGCAAAGGCCTGGAGGCGGGAAAGCATTCAGCATATATGAGCGCCAGGTAGGAGGCAGGGAGAGAGGTGGGAGGGGAGCCTGGCTGGACCCAGAGCATAGTTCGGACTGGACACAGGCCAGTGTCACAAGTGCGGTGGGCACTGCCTGCCCAAAGCCATCTAACCAGGGCCTTGCTCAGAGGGTCTGTGCTTCCTCCAGCGGGAACTCGGCAGGCAGAAAACGGGTCACATTGGGGTTTTTTTGAGTTGGAGCCTCCCTCCGTCACCCAGACCGGAGTGCAGTGTAGTGCACCCTGAGCACCCTGCGCCCACTGCAGGCAGGGCCTTTCCTGGGGCTGGCGGGGGAAAGCTCACAGGCGTTTCTGTGTTCCCACAGGAGTCGGAGCGGCTGGAGCTTATGAACGCGGAGCTGAAGACCCAGATTGAGGAGCTGAAGCAGGAGCGGCAGCAGCTCATCCTCATGCTGAACCGGCACCGCCCCACCTGCATCGTCCGCACCGACAGCGTCAAGACACCCGAGTCGGAAGGCAACCCGCTGCTGGAGCAGCTGGAGAAGAAGTGACCATGGGCTGGAGGAGGCGGCGGAGGAGGAGGGGCGAGGAGAGAGGAGCAGGGGGGCCCCCTCAGGCCCTCGCTCGGCGCACGAGAGACTGTTCGGCGAGTTTCAGCACGGCCCACCTCGGCCGGGCTTTCCTGTGAAACTCGCATCAGCCACCCGAGGGCGAAAGCGGGCTGGGGAGGCCCAAGGGACCACGCGCTGAGACCAAAGTCCCCCGCGGGCTGGGCTGTCCTGCCTGGGGCCCCGTGTGAAGGAGGCGGGGCAGAGATGCCCGGCCAGGCAGCCCGGGCGCCTCTCTCCGCCAGGGCACCCACCAGGGGCCTCCGAGCAGCCAGGAGAAGCCATGCCTTGCAACCAAAACGCGGCTGAGGACAGAACTCAGAAGGAAGCTGCAGCCGCCTGCCCCCAGCCCGACCCCGACACGAAGCTGGGAGGGCGTGCAGTGGGCCAGGCCCCCGCCTCCTGGTCCAGCCGGCCCTGCCCGGGGCGCAGCGGGGGCCCCCTCGCAGCCCTGCTGGAGTCTGCTGCGGGCACTGAGGCGCGGGCGCCCTTCCAAAGCACATACTCACTGAATGTTTACAGACTGGCTGTCCTGGCAGGGCTTTCAACTGCACATGTTTTTTATACTTCCTTTTTTTTTTAAATATTTTTTACAAAAAAAAGATTTTATACAAGCAATATATATATGGATTTCTATAATCACTCGATGTGATACAGTATAAATATGCTATGGTTTGTTGTTATGAACAGATATCCACAGTTATGGCCGTGGTGTGTAACTCCTAAGTACTGTAGTCTCGGGGTGTCGGGGTGGCCGGGCGGGCGGGGTGCATTTCCATCCTTGTAAACCTCCATAGTACTCAGTCCTGTATCGCTCAGTAAACGTTGCTCTTACTTACCCAGCTGTCTTGAGTGGTGTCTGCCAGGGAACGGGTGCACGGCCTGTCCAGGGCCAGAGAAGGTCTGGAGCCCCTGCTGTTGGCCCTGGGTCTTCGCCACAGCCCCGCGTTTGACAGATGAGGAACCTGAGGCTCAGGGCTCAAAGCCTCCGCAGCTACCACTTGGCGAGTGCTTAGTGTGTGGCCTCACTCCACCAGCGTGGGCCGAGTGTCCCCGGCGTGTGCCCGGCCCTGGACAAGGCACACGTGTTCACCCGGGGTAGAACACACCTGAGTCTTGCCCTGGGGAGCCTGCAGCGATGAGCTCCTCTTGTGCTGGCTTCACGCGCCATCTCATTTCATCCCCACAGAGGCCTTGCCAGGGACCAGCACTTGTTCCCACTTCACAGATGGGGAACTAGAGGTCCAGGGAGATGAGACCTGCAGCCACCATCTGTGGAAGACTTACCATGTGACAAGCATAACAGCACAAAATAGGTGTCATTGCTCCTAGTTTACAAATGACTTAACAGACTCACAGAGGGTAAGTGATATATTCAAGGTCACCCAGCTAGCCAGGGGCAGAGCTGGTATTCGAACTCTGTCTCCAAAGTCCCACGACTGTCCTCCCATCACCAGCCAACTGTGGGATTGTCCCCTGGTTGAGTGTCTCACCTGATTGAAGCAGGAAGCTTATGAGACCATGGCTGTAGATCTGGCTTCCAGGAAGACTGGGCAGAGTCGCAGGCTGTCCCACGACCATGGAGTGAACCAGCCACCCTGGAAATGTGTGTGCGACCCATGGGACAGGGAGTGCATGGCTCCTCCATCCCTCACCTTTGCGGCTGAGTCTCTGCCCCAGAGCAGGGCAGCTCACTGCCATGCACACAGTTGCTGCCACTTGCCTGGTGCTGGCTGTCACCCACGAGATAAGGTAGGAGAGATTCTTAGCTCCTTTGAAAACCAAGGCTTACAAAGGTGAACGTTCACAAGCTAAACAGCTGGAAGCTGCCCCAACCCTCCTGCCTGCTCTTCGAGTTCTTTCTCTCCCATCCCTGGGGCTAGGTAACCTGCTGCTACTGCGGCTTCATGACCTTGTGTTGCTTCCCAAGTCACGGATGGGGCCTGGTTCATTAACACGCCCGGGGTCCCTCACTCACCTGTCCTGAGTTCCCTCCATTCCACACGCTGGCGTGGGCTCCCCTGAGCTGCACCATGGAAGTAGGGCCTGGTCAGCTCACAGTGGATGGGGCAGCCTACCATGAACCTCAGGCTGTAACCCTTCGACATTTTCCAAGCCATGAGAAACACGAAGACATGGACTTCCAAGCACCCTGCCACTATCCTGGTTCGTGTCCCTCTGGGACCATCGCCCGCTGCTGTGGCTGTGGCTGCCCGGGCCCAGACTTGGGTGTCATGCACCGGCGTTTCCACAGCAGAGCCTCCCAGCCTGTGCAGGTGAGCTGGCTCCCAGACACCATATCCGCGACCTGGGCTGCGTGGGGGCCCTCCTCGCCAGGACTGCCACCCCGTCCCATGGGTAGCCAGAAGTCACATGTCAGGCTGTGTTCCAAGGGCTGGTGTCTGAGTTTGTTCTCTGTTCCTACCCCTATACCTGTGTCACCTCGGCTGGCTGCTTCATGCAACCCTGCTGGGAGGGTGTCATTGCTACCATCCCTGGGTTACAGATGAGAAAACTGAGGCACAGAGAGGGAGTGACTTGCCCAAGGTCACAGACCTGTCAGGTGACAGAGCCAGGACGCTCTCGCAGTCTGACTCAAGGTGTATAAACCCAGGCTGAACCTCACCATGAGAGGAAGGGCTCCATGTCTTTGCTGTGACCTCCATTGCCAGGGGAACCTGTGCACGCAGCCAGGAGAGATGGCCTGGACCAGCTCACGCTCACAGCACATCCTGAGAAGTGCTAACTCTCAGACACACTGTCTCCAAGGGCATGCACCGCAGACATACTGTAAGGGCAGATAGGCTCAAGATTAATTCTGACGACTGGCTGTGAGCCTGTGTTCTTATCTGTGAAGTGGGAACAGTAATAATCCAAATCTCTTTATAGAGTTGTCATCAAGGTCAAAATGGGATGGATATAACTGTTTTGTGAAGTATGAGGCCTCATTAAATGGCAATTGTTATTATTGAGTCAGAGTCTCACTCTGCCGCCCAGGCTAAAGTGCAGTGGCACGCTCATGGCTACCATAGCCTCAACCTGCTGGGCTCAGGTGATCCTTCCACCTCAGCCTTCCAAGTAGCTGGAACTACAGGTGTGCGCCTCCATGCTCAGCTAATTTTTTGATTTATTGTAGAGACAAGGTCTCGCCATGTTGCCCAGGCTGATCTCAAACCCTTGGGCTCAGACAATCCTCTTGCCTCGGCCTTCCAAAGTGCTGGGATTAAAGGTGTGGGCCATCATGCCCAGCCAGTAATTATTTCTATTACTATTTTAGAGTTGGGATCTCGCTTTGTCATCCAGGCTGGAGTGCAGTGGTGCAATCATAGCTCACTGCAGCCTCAGCCTCCTGAGCTCAAGGGATTCTCCTGTCTTGGTCTCCCAAAGTGCTGGGATCACAGGCATGAGCCATCACACCTGGTCCTATAATGGTAAGTAATTTGCCCTCTGTTAGCGTGGATAGTTGTTGGCATTTACCACATAGTACAAAGTATTTAACTACCTTTTATTCTCTAAAGGTGGCTACAGAATTTGTGACCTGACTATGCACCTGGTCCCTGTGGTGTGATGAATGCCTGGGGTCCAGGACTCCTGGGTTCCACCAGGTCCTGAGTGGCCACGGTCAGCTATGTTGGGCTTATTTCCTCTCCTTGGGCTCTAGAGTACCCTCCTGCCAGGGAGTCATAAGTGAGATGCAGGCCACTACTGCCCAGGGCTCCTAGAAGCATGAGTTGAGTGGATGTAAGCCACCCTTGCCTGAGAAGGGAAAGACCCCTTAGCAATCAGATGGGCAGAAGCTAATATTTGCTGGTCAGAATACAGATTAAAGGAGACTTCCACGTGCTGCCAGTGGGGAACTTGCTGACTACAATTATGTACAAGCAACTTGGAACTAGTCAGTAATCCTAAAGCTACACACATCCTTTGAGCTGGCAGTTTTCCCTCCTAAATATACGTGTGGGAGGAATTTGAGTATAGAGGCACAAGAAAATGTACAAGAGTATCCACTCATGCCTTCCTTGCTTATACTAAAGAGACTGGAAACAACCTAACTGTCTATGGACTTAAGAACAGATAAACACATCATGATGTTTTTATAAACTGAATCTTGTTCAGCAGATAAAGAGAATGAACTAAGCTACACGTATCTATGTGGGTGAGTCTCAGAAACTACTGTTGAGCTGGAGAGTGAGGAAGCAAATCATGGAAGGATCCCACTTACCCCATATTTCTAAAGGTGTAAATGTGGGTGCATGCAGATTGGGGTGACAGAGGTAAGAAGACATGCACGGGGATGCTGTGGGTATCAACACCAGCAGTAGGGGTGCTCCTGGGAGGAGCAGGGAGAGGAGGGCTGGGGATGGCTCTTCAAGACAAGCAGAACACTGGAGTACGAGTCTACAGGGCACGTTTCATGTATTTTTAGATTCTACCACATGTGGGATGATGTTATTATAGAATTTGTCAGCAGTGGGTGCTGTGTGCACAGACAAGGGTTACCTTCTCCACACTCTGCGTGCATGACACATTTTGTAAAAAGAGAACAAACCATGACACATATAGGAGGTTTTGTTTTTCAGTCCTTTCCTTGGAAATAAAAACAAATCTGAAATGACACAGAGTTCAGCATATGCTCTTTGAATGTGTGCAAATCTAATCTCAGGTCCAGAGGGAGAAAGGGACAGGCCAAAGGGTGTGAGCGTTCTACTGGCCCCAGGGGGGACTTTCTCCTTACACATCAACTTCTCAGCCCACCCCTCCATGAAAGGCAGCTCAGCTGCTCCTGTGAGTGGAGCTTGGACAAGAGGCAGAGCAAATGGGGGTGCCTCTAAAGACAGGGACCCAGTTTTCACAGGTGTCCTCAATTCCTGTTGCTGCTGTAACAAATTGCCTCAGATCCTGTACTTTACAGCAACATGCATTTTGTTATCTTATAATTCTGGAGGTCAGAAGCCCAAAGTGGTTCTCACGAGGCTAAAATCAAGGTGTTGGTCAGACTGCCTTTCTCTCAGGCCTCTGGGGAAGTCCACTTGCTCGTCTTCTCCAGCCCTGGGGACCGCCCACATGCCATGGCTCATGACCTCCTCCAAAGCCTGCAGCGGTCAAGGCTTTCTCACACCTGCTCTCCTGATACTGAGCCTCCAGCTCCCTCTTCCATCTTTTAAGGACCCTGGAGATGATGCCAGGCCCACCCAGATAGTCCAGGATAAACTCCTTATTTTAAGGTCTGCTGATGAGCAACCTTAATTCCCCCAGCCATGTAATATAGCATAATCACAGGTTCCAGGGATTAGAACACAGACATCTTGTGGGGCTGGGGGTATTATTCTGCCTGTCACAAGAGGAAATTAAGAGTTGGTGCTTATTCTGGGTGCACTGACTTCAGTCTGTAATCCCAGCATTTTGGGAGGCTGAGGTGAGAGGATTGCCTGAACTCAGGGGTTCGAGACCAGATTGAGCAACTTGGTGAGACCTCATCTCTACAATACATCAACAAATTAGCTGGGTGTGGTAACATGTGCCTGTAGTTCAAGCTACTTGGAAGGCAGAAGGATCGCCTGAGCTCAGCAGGTCAAGGCTGCGGTGGCTGTGAGCCTGAGCAACAAGGAGAGACTCTGACTCGAAAAAAAAAAAAGAGTTGGTGGTTTTCCCCTATGACCCTTCTCACTACTGGTCTAGATAGGATATTTCCCATGTAAGGGCTGTGAGGCTGGAGACCCTGTGTGATGCCTCCCTGGTCCCTGGCACAGCGTCTGGCACACACAAAAAAATTCTTCTTGTCTAGTGATATCATAGTTGTCATAATGTTATAGTGCAAGGCATTACTTGAGTGTTTGTG